GTTCTCTATATTTAAGAGTCTCTTATGTTTTGTCCCCCTCCCTGTTTTTATATTATTTTTGCTTCCCTTCCCTTATGTTCATCTGTTCAGTATCTTAAATTCCTCATATAAGTGAGGTCATATGGTATTGTTCTTTCTCTGACTGGCTAATTTCACTTAGCATAATACCTACCAGTTCCATCCATGTAGTTGCAAATGGCAAGATTTCATTCTTTTTGATTGCTGAGTAACATTCCATTGTGTGTGTGTGTGTGTGTGTACACCCCCCCCCATCTTCTTTATCCATTCATAGGTCAATGGACATTTGGGCTCTTTTTCCATACTTTGGCTATTGTCAATAGCGCTGCTATAAACATTCACCTCTATACGTTCTTCATACTGCAGCCTGAAAATGCAACTGGGACCTTCCTTTAAAATCCTCTGGCTCCCCACTGCCTTCAAGATAAAGCACAAACCCTAACATACCATATTTTACAAGGTATCAGCTATTTAGCCCTCTACTTTTCTGGCCTCACCTATCATCCTCATTCATCCCTGGAAGGTAAACTCCAAACGTATGGAATTACTTGTTTTACAACTAGTGTAAGGCACTTTACCCCACTTCTCATCATCTATGGCTTGACTCAGATGTTGCGTAGCCTGCAGGGAAAATGTTCTTTCACCTCATTTAATACTCTAAAACTCAAATCCCTACTAGGCAGTACAGCGTAATGGTTAAACCCACAGGCATTGGTGTCTGGTTACTAGGATTCGAATTCCACGTTGGCCATTTACTAGTTGTGCGACCTAGGGCAAGTGAATAATCACGTCTGTAACGTCAGGATACTATTTCATCAGTGTGTTGTGAGAATTAAATGAGATGATGTAAGGTGCCTAATAGAGTTAGCCAATTATAACAGCCCCGAATAGTAAGGCTCTACCTCCCACCCCGCCACATTCTCAGGACCAGGTGTGTGTGTGCTTTCGTTTTAATGCACACGTTTGTTCCAGTATCAGCCTTGTAGTCCGTGTTTTACTTGACAAGGTAGTTAGACCTGGAGGCGCTCACGACTTTCCGTCCCCGAGCTCGGCGACACAGAACGCCCCGAGGTGGCTCCAGCTGCCTGCAACCAAAGAGGAGCGAACTAGGGCATACCATTCGAAATCTTAGGGGAAGAAAGGCTTTCTCTAACCAAATAGTCTGTGTTTATAAAGTCTCCCCTCTTTCGCTTCCTAACCTCGAATTCTGTCGGGTGCAATCAAAGTGAGAAACGGCACTATAGGTGGGAGGGAGAGACAAGGTCTAACTTCCTCCCCCATGCTATTCGCGGCATTGGTACTTTCTCTTCTCAATTCCCTCTCAATAATGGTACCGTTCGCGGAGGGGAGGACGGAGAGGCATTGTGAAGTCCTGAGGGCTAGGAGGCTGGTACTCGTACAGAACCACCCCTCGCGCCCTGGCACTGTGGTACCGCCCACTGCCCTCTGATTGGCTGCCGAGGCCCCGCAGTCGGGCTCAGCCCGCCGCGCCGCCCTCAGTACAGCTCCGGCCGCCGCGCCGCCTGGCTTTCGTATTCCTTGTTCTCGGCGGGCTCTGGGGGCTCCGCGCTGCGGCCGTTAGTCATGTCGGGTAGGTGACTCCTTCAGCGAGCAGCGGCAGCGGCGAGAAGGGGCCTGGCGGGGTTGGGACGTCTTCCCGCCCACCGGAGGGCCCCGAGGGAGAGCCTCCGGCCCTGAGGGAGGCTTGGGGGGGGGCGGGTGGCCGCGGCCGCCGCCATGTTGGGCTGAAGGGACGCACGCTCCCAACGCTCTCCGTCTGCAAATCACGGCGGGAGCGCTTCTGGCCCCTCTTTTTTGACCCTGTCCTTGGAAGCTGAGGAGACGTGCCCCTCCCGGGGAGGGTGTGTGAGTTGGGGGGGGCGGAGGCCGTCTACGCCATCACAGGGGCGGGGGGAGCCCGTGATTAGAGCATCCGCCTGAGAGAATCGGTGCTTCTGGTTCTCCGCTCCGCCTCAGATCTTTCAGCGAGGCCTCGGGCCAGTCGTCTCGCCGCCTCGTACCTCAGTTTCCCCATCTGTGAAGTGGAGCTGGGCCTTCCTGACTCACCCATTCATCAGGTGGGGTTCTTGACGCTCTGGGAGCCCTTTCAAAGGACGTTGCCTTGCACGAAATCCTCCTTCTCGTCATTCCCTCAACCGTAACCACCCGGATTCGAACGGGGGTGTTTGCATATAATTCAGCTTCCTCCTCACCCTGCTGTCGTTCTTCTCCCTTCTCCAGTTGTTTATCTCCTGCAAGAGCCTGAAAGTGAGCCTTTTCTATTCTGGATAGACTCCCGTAGGTACATGTGGCATTTACCTTAACACATGCAGACCAGAGGAAAGGCAGTCTTACACGAAGCATTTAAATTGATAGAGCGCCC